CCACTTGCACCGCTCCCTCGTTCTCTTCGCGCAACACCGCCTATGCCGCCCCTTTTTCTCTCTAGCAAACACAACAACACCTGCAAAAGAGTCAAAGAACAAAAAACACCAAATACAATAGCATTAATTGCTCATGTTGTGTAAAGGGAGGCATATCAGTATTAGAGTAAAGATGGGAATAAGGGCCAAAAGATGCTAAATATATATATAATAAAAGGCCTAAAAGATGCCCCAACCAATCGTAATGTCATGACACTGGCAAACCCTCAACTATTTTTATTTCATGCTTTTGATCAATTAAAAATGATTTTTTCTTAGTGTCTGATTTAAAAAATATTTTTTTTCCTTGATAAATCTTTTATATGTCTTGTTTGTTTGTAGTTTGTGCCACATAACCATCCATAAGCTCTCTTTGCTTCTCCTCCTTTTTTATCCACAATATTATACACTAGTCAAAGTTTTTTTGAAGAATTTTTTTGTTAGGATTACCAAAATATTAGTCTACTTAATTCAGAGATGACAAGCTACATAACTATAAGTGGGATCTCAATCTCTCCGATACTGTAGTTGCTTCCGTTGCCGGCTGATATGAACCACGCCAACATCGTGACGAGATCCGAAATCAATACATCGAATTTCAAATCCTAGACAGTCCAAAGAAAGATTCAAAGATGTGGAACCTCGACCCATTACCTATACATATGCAAGAACCTTGGTATGCGAAGACGCCACAATCAATTGTTGAATATTGATTGATAATTCATGGGCAAATTCCAGGGAGAATAACACCGGTAAGTTCATAAAATAATGGTTCTTGAAGAACCAAAGAGCACACTATTATTTCATAAGATTTCAATACATTGTTGTGTGTCTTTATTCATACAATTTGATTCATTTATATGGGGTTCAGCTACTCTAATCAATGGAAATAAAAAATGATGATGAAATCATTATTCAAATAATCAAATCAGCCACAAATCAACCAATCTACATAACATTTATTGAAACTAAATTAAGAAAGATTTTTAAATCATTGTCTTGATCTTCCAAGGCTGAAATGCACCAATCAAGAGCCCTCCGAACTCCAAAAAACGTGTGTGTTTTCAATCGTGGAAATCTTGGATCTTACAAAGACTTCAAATAATGTGATTGCATCAATTAGAGCATTTAAGGATTGATGTTTTTGTAATTGAAGTCTCTTAAATCTGACTTGATCTCTTTGAGATGTGGATAGCCTTGTGCTGGATTTGAACTCAAGTTGGGCCATCGAATACTTGTCATCTCACTGATTTGTTGAATTATCCCACTTCATGCTTCTCAAGTTTTCAGCTCACAATATAATTAATATTTTAGAAACCTTGGTAATCTTCGATTACTTGATATGATTGGGATCACATCAGTCTCGTCACGATGTTGGTTGGACAACATCAAAAGAGTCAATAACAAATTATACGAAAGGACGAAAAGATGATAGGAGGAAGAAGAAAGTAAACATATGGTAAAAGACTCGAAAACAATAAATTAACAAAAGACTCAAAAGAATAGGCGAAACCTTCTCCAGAAGTTGGCTCTGATACCAAATGATATGAACCACACCAATATTGTGACGAGACCCGATATTAATACTTCGGATTTTAAATCCCGGATAGGGATGGCCACGTGTCGGGTTTGGGACGGGTTTTCCATTCCCCGCACCCATCCCGCCCCGCAACGGGTATAAACTTTTTCAACTCGCACCCGCCCCATAGAAAATCCACGTGTACCCGCCCCGCCAAAAAACCCGTAAAGCTGAAGAAAAAAGTAAAAAAAATTAAATAACCCTAATGAAAACAATCATTCTAAATCAAGAATATATATATATATATATATATATATATATATATATATATATATATATATATATATATATATATATATATATATATATATATATGTGTGTGTGTGTGTGTGTGTGTGTTTGTGTGTGTGTGTGTGTGGGGCGGGTATATACAAACCCGCACCCGTTTTCGGGTGAAAATATAGAACCCGTACCCGCCCCATTTATTTGCGGGGCGGGTATTACCCGGAAATTTCGGGGCGGGACGGGGCGGGTACCCGCGGGTCAGGTAAAAATTTCCATCCCTAATCCCGGACCGTCAAAAGAAGGATTCAAAGTGGTGTAACCTCGACCCATTGCCTACAAAGTGGCAAGAATCTTGGTATGCGAAGACGCCACAATCAATTGCGGAAGATTGATTGATAAGTCACAGGGGAACGCCCGGAGAACATCATCGATAAGTTCATAAAAATAATGGCTCTTATTTCATGAATACACAGGATATCCATGACTGATCAAGCGATCGAATCCCCTACTACAATGCACGTACCTCCCACTAGATTTCGGAAGGCACGAACACTGGCCCTTGAGGCGGTCCTCGGTGGAACTCAGGGACAGTCACGATACAACTAGTCCTCTAGTGAAGTCACGGTGATGTTTGGGTCTTAAGGATTAATGGTGTACAACTATATCATAGAAACCTCTACTCGATTATTGGGAACCACTTAGAGATCTCTAGATTGAGAGAGTTCAGTAAACTCATCAACTTATGAGCACCCACTTATATATGCCGATGTCACAACACCGTTGACTGATGAGACGCAATACACATACACTATAAGTGCTAGTCTCAAATGGGAAAGGTCGATGTCCTCATTAGTGGTGTAACCTGTTGACTAGGAACTATGTTTAACAGTTACTGTACTTAAATAAATAATCTCACGATTTTGCTAGATGTATATATAGTAATTAAGTAACTGTAAGGACTACATCTATGCCTATGCAAGGGACAAAGATATATAATGCCAAAGGGGGGTTTTTATCATTGATACAAAATAGATTATTTACGAATAGAGTGAGAAAACACAACAATTAGTTGGCTCTTCGGTCACCTACTCTAACAGATTATTCTGACACATTTTCTCATATTGCCAATTAACTTCCATTAGATTGTTCGTTTATCTTGCACGTAATCATAATTGGCATTTACATCAGTAGGACATCAATAAATGTTTTCTTCAGAGAGGTTTATATGGAGAGAAACCTCCCAATTTTGTTCCTGGGGTGGGGGTGTTTATGGTAAAATTTATCATCTTCGCAAGTTTTTGTATGGTTAGATATAAAGTCAACGTGCTTGGTTTGGTAAATTTAGTCAGGCTATTGACAAGAGTTCGATCTAGAGATGATATGATTCTTCTAGTTGTAAATGTTGATAATATTGTCGTTAGTGGAACTGATTCGACAAGTGTTTCGTATCTGAAGTCCTTTCTTCATACATAATTTCATACAAAAAATTTGGGGATGCTAAAGTATTTTTTGGTGTTGAGATTGCTCGGTGTAAGAAAGAAATATTTCTACCTCAGAGAAAATATGTCCTTGATTTGCTAGTCGAGATAGAAAAATTTAGCGTGAAATCATGAAATGAACCGATGCTTCCGAATGCACAACTACTGGAGAGGGAGATCCCTTCGAAGTCCCCTGAATATATAGGAGATTGATAGAGAAATTAAACTATCTCACAGTTACTCGGCCGAATATTGCATATTGTGTCAATGTTGTGTGTCAGTTTATGTCTGCTCCAACCATTCATCATTGGACAACCCTAGAGTAAATTCTATGTCATCTCAAAGGTGCCCGAGGACATGGGATTATGTATGCAAATTATGAACCCAATTGCATTGAATATTTTCTGACGCAAACTGAGGAAGTTCTAAGTAGATACAAGATCCACAATGTGGTATTGTGTCTTTGTTGGAGGATAGTTGGTGGCATGGAAGAGTAAGAAGCAAATTGTTGAGGCGCGATCAAGTGCAAAATCAAAGTATCGAGCTATGGCACAATATGTGTGCGAGAAAATGTGAATATATCACCTTTTGGATGAAGTAGGTGTTACAAGTTACAACTTCAGTCACAACGAAGTCGTGATGTGACAACCAAGTTGTTATTCACATTGCTTATAGTCATGTGTTCTGTGAGCGGACTAAGCGGATTGAAATTTATTGTCCTTTCAAGGATTGATCACTACATAATACGTGAAAATTGGAAGGCATCTTTAAAAGGTTCTAAATACGATTGAGTTGATTATTTTGTAACAAGGACATGATTCATTTATGGTCCGACTTTTGGAGAGCTGATATATACTGTAAATGGCTTAATCACCCCCCCGCACTATTGAAATTGAGCATTTTGTCACTTCACACCCTTGAAAAACAATAATAGCACTTTGCACCCTCAAAACACAATCAATCATTCACAATGCACCATGAATTGAATAATAAAGACAAATTCATTTTTTTATTGGGTTTTTTTTTTCGGGATGCAAAATAAAAATTAAATTGTTATTTTCTTCAACCTCCAACCCAATTTGGAGTACACAAAGTGCGAAAAATAAAAATCACACCGGATCATTGAAAAAAACTAGATTTTCATACAAAATAAAATAAAATAGACTTTTATCGCTAAATTATTCGATTGAGGGATCTTATGTTGTAATTGGTGGAAATATCAGGTAAAATTATTTGGAAGAAAATATGATATTCAGATAACTTGATAACGAAATAGCTAATGTTTTGTTTTTGTAAAACATTTTTTTGTGATAAATATATAATTTTTAAATATATTGATGAAAACTATTTTTATTTTTTCACTTTATAGTTTCAAAATTATTGATGAATAAAAAAAATGATTTGACCTTTGTCGTCCAAAAAAAACCACTAAAAATATTAAATTACATTTATATGCTTTAAAAATCCAATTGTGGTGCACTATGCATGATTTATTGTGTTTTGAGGGTGCAAAGTACCAAAATGATATATTTAAAGGTTGCAAAGTGGAATTAAACCTATTGTAAATATATATTCTATATGTAGCTAGAATCAACTAAATAATATTTATGGATATTGATTGACTTAGATTCCTAGCGTTTTGTAATTGAAAAAAGTCTTTACATGTCTTTAATTTATTTTGTTTATCAAAATTGAACTCATTGTGATAATTAAGAGATTTGAAGAAGATAAACTAAAAATCACCAATTTAGAAGAGGTTCTACAAACACAACCTAATTCTTAATAGTACCATCTTTGAAGTTCGAACTATATCCAATTTGACAAACATAGCAGCATTGTAATAACAGAATCACAACACAGCAACCACAGTTGCGCCTGTCACCAACATCTCCCAAACTTTTTTAACCCTCTCTCTCTCTCTCCACTTTTTTAGAGAGAGAAACTCTCTCAAAAGCAAATTGATTTGAGTATGCCGACTCCGGCAGCCGAGAGGGGAATCCCGCGGCCGGCGGGACCGAGAGTGAAATTGCGTACCCTGCTCCGCGTAGCATCGGTGGCCGGCGGAATACAGTTTGGGTGGGCACTACAGCTGTCGCTATTGACCCCATACGTGCAGGAACTCGGCATACCCCACGCGTGGGCTAGTATTATCTGGCTGTGCGGCCCGCTTTCAGGCCTCCTCGTTCAGCCCCTCGTCGGCCATTTCAGTGACCGCTGCACCAGCCGCTTCGGCCGCCGCCGCCCCTTCATTCTCGGCGGCGCCACCTCCATAATTATCGCCGTCGTCATAATTGGATTCTCCGCCGACATCGGCTGGTACTTTGGCGATCGCGGGCAGAAAAAAATGCGTGCGATTGTTGCGTTTGTGATTGGATTTTGGGTTCTGGACGTTGCCAACAATATGACCCAGGGCCCGTGTCGCGCCCTTCTCGCTGATTTAACTGGTATGTGTTTTCTATTCTATTTGTGCAGTGTGAATTTAATTTATTTATGATGTAAACTCTTACCAACTTTGTATTTTTGTAAACTTTTTACTTGCACGTGTTATTTAGTGTGAAATCAATCTTGATCAAAAGATGATGGCTGCACCAAATGTAATTAAAATCACTTATCTTTTTGGGATGGAAATGAATATTAGCTTTTCGAAGCCAAATATAGTAACTAGTTCGTGTTGAGTCTAATCGAACTTATTGTTTATCGGAAAGGTGATGGATGTCTTGGTTTGAGAGTACATTATATTATACTACAAATGGGATACTACTTAAATCTCATAAATTGACTTGTTCATGGCTACAGTGGGAATTTGCCAGAGTAGATGACTGCTCAAAAGGCGTTGAAAAGGGGTGCGGCTATTTTTATTAGAAGATGCATAAAACTGAACTTTGTTCTTGAAGTCAACCCCCCTTTTGTTATGATGTTACATAATATACTATCAATTTCTAATCTATTGTTACTAAACACTTTCCTGTTATGTTAGTACCGTTTCTATATCTGTTTGTTGTTTCTATGTTACTTTCACCCTCCTGGTATTGCTCCCACCTTCGATACATTCTCCCCTCTTTTCCCTTCCAATATTCGGTGCTACACCAAAGTATATGCATGAACAACTTGAATAACTGCACTAGTAAATTCATCTTTTGTACGAAACAGAGAACTCATAACGGCTGGCCGTTGTTCAAACAAGTAATATCATTCCAGAGAACTAGCTTCATTCAACATAAATATTGTCGGCTCATCTTTTTCATAAATTTTCATCCTTTGTGATTAGTATTCAATTATTTTTTTTCGTTTAATGATTATGCTTTGGTAGGGAAGGACCACAGAAGAACTCGAGTGGCAAATGCGTATTTCTCCCTATTTATGGCTGTCGGCAATATCCTCGGATTCGCCACTGGATCATACAGTAACTGGTTCAAAATTTTTCCGTTTACGCTCACTTCCGCTTGCGATGCTAGTTGTGCTAATCTAAAGGCGGCATTCCTTATTGATATCATGTTCATTATAATCACTACATGCATAAGTTTGTCAGCAGCCCACGAACAGCCTTTAACTTATCCGAGTATTCAATCCATTCATTCCGGTGAAGAAATGCCTAAAGATTCTTCAGAGCACGAAGCTTTTCTATGGGAACTCTTTGGAACATTTAGATATCTCCCCGGTACTGTTTGGACTATCCTTGTTGTTACTGCCTTGACTTGGATTGGTTGGTTTCCGTTTCTTTTATTCGATACTGATTGGATGGGTCGTGAGATATTTGGCGGTGAACCGAATGATGGCAAGAATTACAGTATGGGAGTGAGAATGGGTTCGCTCGGCTTAATGTTGAATTCTTTGGTACTTGGAATTACATCCGTTTTTATGGAGAAGCTATGCAGGAAATGGGGTGCTGGTTTTACGTGGGGAGTTTCGAATATTCTCATGTCTGTTTGCTTTGTGGCTATGCTTATTATTACTGTGGTTAATAGCAATGTGAAATTTGATGGCCTTCTTCCTCCTGATGGTGTCGTCGTTGCTGCTCTAATTGCATTTGCGTTTCTTGGTGTTCCATTAGCTGTAAGTTAGTTCCTTCTTTTCTTTTTAAAGCTTTGAACTTGCCTATGTGTGCAGCGCCCCTGATTTTTTTGGGATTAATTTGAAAAAAACAATAATAAATAAGTAAGCATTTTCATTTTTTTAATTTAAAATAGTATAAAGTAAAATATAATATGACCATAATATTATTGTTGAAACTCCTGAAACTTGAACAATCATGGAAAAAAAAGCTATTAAAAATAAGCCAAAAAGAAATTCTTGGAGGGGCAGCTACCCCCCACACAGACACGCACAAAAGCATAACGTGGTTACGCCCCTGTATGTGTGTAACTATGTATACATGTTTCCATGGAATAAATGCAGTTAATTATTTCATTAAGAGTATCTACAAACTTTAATCAAGTTTCTTTTTTGTCTCAAATCACTTAGTCCTGCCCAAATTTTATGTCCCACAAATATAAAAAATGATGTACTGTATATTACTGTACTTGTCGATTGTAGGGTCTCTGAGTAGTTGATAATCTCTAGTATTTACTATTAACCTATTTTTTCTGCAGATAACATATAGCGTTCCATATGCATTGGTATCTACACATATTGAAGCTTTAGGCCTAGGCCAAGGTTGGTTGTAACCTATAGTTTCATAATTTGTTGTCTGAAGGTATATTATTACATCTCTTAAAATTATTTCCTTCTTGCAGGATTATCAATGGGAGTTCTGAATCTGGCAATTGTAATTCCACAGGTATATATAGCCTTCTCTTTTTCCTTTACATTGTGTTGAATTTGATTTACTATAGTACATACAAATCGTTATTCATCCAGCATTCATTATATTTTAATAAGAGATACTGGTACGGTTTTTCTTTACGACAAATTCCATTGACATGCTTTTACGACTGGGAAAATGGTTTTTAACTATTGGAAGTGGAAAACTTAATAGAATATTGTGTTGTGAAAATAGATTATAGTGTCGATTGGAGCGGGTCCGTGGGATGAACTATTTGGTGGTGGGAACTCAGCAGCATTAATAATTGCAGCATTTGCTGCATTTGTAGGAGGGATTATAGCCATTTTGGCTATTCCTCGAACAAGGGTCGATAAATCCAGGATCCACCATTAATAGCTATCTCTCTCCCCTTTCTCAATATTCAGTTTTCAAGATTCCATCATTTAAAATGTTTCTAAATTTGGTGAAAAAATTGTTTCGTTTCGGGATGTTGTACGGGTACGGGGGAAGCTATGGATAATTGTATTTATTTGTAATAGTTGATGTGATGCAATTTTTTATTTTTCTGTTTTTGGCTAAATATTTTGGATGTCCTGCCAATGCCAATATGCCATGCCATGTAAAACATTGCCTAATGAAAATGAAATGCTATTTACAGTTAGAAAATTGCTATTTGCGGTTTATAACAAAACCCCCCAAAACTTTCCAAAAAAATCAAAAAACCCCCCAAGCTGCAAATAGCAAAAAAAGTAAAAAAAATCGAAAATTCGAAATCAAGCTTGAAGAAGGGTTGGGCTTCGATTTTTTGATGTAATTTCGACTCTTTTATGTGTAATATGCATTGGGTAGGCCAATTACGGAACTAATTTCATGTTAAAAACCACTACAAATCGATTTGTAGGGCTTTTGTTTTTCGCAAAAAAATGTTGGAACACCAAAGATGGGCACCCAAGGCGTGTACGAACGCCCGTTCCGGCATAGGGTAAGGGCTTTTACGCGTTTTAGGGGTTTTTTTGGATTTTTTTGGGAAGTTAGAGAGATAAAATATTTTTTGTTATAAACCGCAAATAGCAATTTTCAAACTGCAAATAGCAAGTCCCCTAATGAAATAACCTTCAGTTTTTCTAATACTAGAAAGGTGGACGTGCGTTGCACGTCTTGTGTCAATTTAATCGGGTTTTTTTTTTTCTTTTTTGGCATATTATTCAATCAAAATAATAATACAAATTAAAATATCGAATTTATTTGGAGTATATTGATATTATTCATTAGTCAAACTTGATCTAATATTACAATATGTATAGATTCATAATTTACATATATTTATATTAAAGATTCCATTTAATACTTTTTTAATTTTCTTTCATCTTAATTCTATTTGCACATCTTTCATCATTGGAAAATTTTATTTACCCGTCTCTTCTTATATGTATTAGTTTTTTTTTGCAACTTCTTCTTTGAACACTATCATATTTTCTGGAATAGATAGATTACTATTGTCATTATTTTTCTTTTTGAAAACATAATTCATTGGTTGTTAAAAACTAAGGTATTTATAATTCAATTTTGTTTAATATTATAATATAACATTTTTTTAGATTCATATAATTTCTATTTACATTTGTATTCATGATTCCACTAATTTTTTTTTATTTTCTGTATCTAAATTTTGTTTTCAAATCTTGAAGCAAACTCAAAAAATTACATTACATTAATTTTGCAACAATACCTAAAAACCCCTTTAAAACTGCAGAATGGTGAAACGATGAATAAAATCCCAATTGAGGGGTGAAAGTGTAAGTTATGGATATATCTCCTTAATTCAATTATAACCTTACAATTTGGGAACTGAGTTGAATTTTTTTAAAAGATATGAAACAAAGTTGGTTGTTCAAGTGCTCCACCGAAATTATGTGGAGTCAGAAAACAAACGTAGTCAAATACACTAATTTTCTTGAGTTATAGGTCCAGAAGACTTCTCAGTCACATAGTAAGCAAGAAAAATTCTCAAAAGTTTGCAAGAACATGGATTTCTTTGATCTATTTCCCTCAACTTTTTTTTTCCTTTTTTTTTGGGTTAATAGCATTTTGCCACCTGTATTTTGCCCGTTTTTGCACTTTGCCACCTTAACTAAAAAAAGTTGCACGGGCCCACCTAAACTTACTTTTTTTATGCACATAACCACCTAAAGAGAATATTCCGGCGAATCTTCTCATTTTCCGTCGCATGTGCGATGCACATGCTTAAGGTAAGGGTTTTTTTTGTCATTTCCAGGGCCCTAATTTCTTTTCACAATTTTATTATCTCTTACACATACGAACAGTCAACCCTCTTCAATCTTCACCAACTCTCTTCAATCTTCATCTTCTTCAAGCTGCTAGAGAAGAACTCCCTCTTCAATCTTCATCTTCTTCAAATGCTAATAATTCTTCATCTTCCCGATTCGAAATTACCAGCCATCTATAATTAAAGCCAAAAAAATATATTTTTCACAATTGTTGGGTCATAATTATTAAAAATCATCAGCCATCTATGATTAAAGCAAAAAAAAATAGATTTTTAACAATTGTTGGGTCATAATTATTAAGGAAAGAAGAAAAAAAAAATTCCAGAAAATTATTCCTTGGAATTGAAACCCATTTCCTGATTTTGAAATATGATATCGATAAATGGGGGAATTATTTTTTGGCCACAATTCGATATATTCAGTTTACCGGAAGAAGACGCCGCCATTAGCGGGGACCCTCTAGATGTTGATGTAGATGGGCGACGGCGAACGGAAATGAGGGCTTTGGTACACGGGAACCCCTCTAATCGGCCTCGTCAAGAAACAGAGTTCTTCGCAGGAGAGCCCTTGATGGAGGTGGTGCTTGAGCGAATGGAAGACATCAGCGCCGTGTCGGAGCCGCCGTGGAGGAGGTGGCGGTGAAAATACTGATTCGAGGGGGAGGAATTATCTTGTGGGAATAATGTTTAGAATAATTAGAGGAGTTGTTTGAGGAAGGCTTGGCAACGTCGGCCATTGAAGAGGAGATAAAATTGATGAAGTTTCTTGAATTGAGGGCTATTCTCCAGAACGCCATATCCACCACCTCATCTTCATCGGAAGTTCTTCTCCAGCTGCTTGAAGAAGACGAGGATTGAAGAGACGAGAGATAATAAAATTGTGAAAAGAAATTAGGGCCCACAATTTTTTTTGGTGGAAATGACCAAAAAAACCCTTACCTTAAGCATGTGCATCGCACATGCGACGGAAAATGAGAAGATTCGCCGGAATATTCTCTTTAGGTGGTTATGTGCATAAAAAAAGTGAGTTTGGGTGTGCACGTGCAACTTTTTTTAGTTAAGGTGGCAAAGCGCGAAAACGGGCAAAGTACAGGTGGAAAAATGCTATTAACCCTTTTTTTTTTCTTGCTTAATTTCGAGTGAGTGAAATAAAAAATAACAGTTTTTTGTGCGTCATCAATATCATTGCGCTTTTCGCTGACGCGATTAATTGTTATACAAATTTTCTCATTTTTTTTGTAATATAATGTAGGGTTTATTAGGGATAACCCCCTTGTTCATATTTTCTAATGAGGTAGATCCAATTTTTTTTTCCCGTTTTGATATACACCCAATTTTGCCAACTTGGCAAAATATATTATATAATTTCCCTTTAATACCCCTGTTTTATTATTAAACGACATTTATTTCCTTTAATACGTGATTTGAGATTTGCTGATACGTTGCCTAAAATCACGGAATAAATTTACGTGAGATCATTGGCCGTTATATCAAATCGTGTACAATATTTTTTGAAGATTCTCTTCATCGTTCCAGCGGGTTTTATCGTCTGTGAAGATTTCTGCACCGTCGTGGAAATATGATCGATTTTTGAGCGTTTGTTGTTGGACGTTGTTAAGCGGGTATGAATGCGTTATTCGTTTTTATTTTTCGCTCAATGTCTATGATTGTCGTGCACTTGATTCTATTAAGTAGAACGTTTTTTAACAAAATTATTCCGTCATATATATATATCGTTTTTTTTGGCCGATGATGTTTGTTTGGAAGAGGATTGACAGAGTTAGAAGAGGATGGTTCACGCAGATAGGACCAGAGTTGTTTTATATGAGCTTCGTAGTTGGTTTATGCAATAATCGGAATAATTGTCCGTTGTGGTCGAGTTCATGTTTTTGATCCCGATCGATAGTTGGTTTATTTGTTTATAACAGCCGATTTAAGTGTGCTGGGTAGTACTTTAAAATATAGTTCGTAGTCTTTTTTAATTTAGCGTATGGATTTTGCATTTTAAGTTTATTTTTGATTATATTAATGTATTATCATTCAAATGTATTTGCAGTTTTTTTAATCATTTTTTAGTATTCTGCATTTTTAATTTTGTTTCATGATTTTAAGTTTTTTCGATGGCGAATTTCGTACGGATTTTGTTGAGGTTTCGTGGGTTGGTTGCTATAAAGAGGTGTTTACGATGTAATGGCTCGGTAACTTCGGTTAAGTGTTAAACCGTTGTAATACAGTAGTATACTATTATGAATACCGTATGATACTACCATTAACATTTTATTATACTATTATGAGATTATTAATGTACTAGAGTTTTTTAACTCGACATATTGGTTTGATTGTGTTATGATGTGTTTTATGTATTTTATCAAAACCCTAGATTGAAATTATGAGATTATTAATGTACTATTTTATTGGTTATGTTGGAATACTTTACGTTGGTGTTGTTCTCAATGTTCTTGTCATTTCAGTGGTATATTGTTTGTAACACAATTTCATATCACTACTATAACCGTAATATACTATCATAGCAGATTAATGTACTATATTGAAATTATTAATATTCTATGTGGTTGAATAATACGGGATCCATAGTCGATTAACGAGATCCATAGTCGAATTAGATCAATAAGATAGTCTATTACATGATATAAGGAAAATTACCCTAATTGATTAGTATTTCAAACAAACATATTATTCAGTTTCCATATATATTATTATTTTTTCATATATATTATTATTTACCCTAATCGTTTTCATATAATAAGGAAAATTACCCTAATTGATTAGTATTTCAAACAAACATATTATTCAGTTTCCATATATATTATTCTTTTTCCAATAGTCAATTAACTAAACCCATAGTAGAATTAGATACATGGGATAGTCTATTAAAAGATATGAGATAGTCTATTAATTTTAAAACACAAATCTGCCGCCGTCACTTCTCAAATCTAGGGTTTTGATGATTCTTCGGCCCATAGTCGATTAACGAGATCCATAGTAAAATTATACCAGTGGGATAGTCTATTAAATGATATGGGATAGTATATTAATACAGATGTAATTCGACTATGCATCTCGTTAATCAACTATGGGGCGAAGAATTATCAAAACCCTAGATTTGAGTAATCCTAGATTTGAGTAATCCTAGATTGGAGCAGTGACGGCGACGGCGACGGCGACGGCGGCCAACAACGATATCACTTCTGGTGGATGTCCTGCCCATCAATTGTTGCAATATCGCTGATTTAGTGCTCGAATTCGGTATGCGATT